GCCAGCCTGAAATCTGTCTATCAACCTCAGGTATATAGATAAACAACCCCCCTACTTTTTTTTTTTTTTTTACTATTTTGGCAATCACAGCCTGAAAGCAGGAGCAAGACAGGTTGGGCCTGTTCTCTCCTGGCTGACTGACAGCTCCCAAGCCCTCTGACGATTGGTATAAACAGCGGGCAGTTCCCTGCCCCAAGGGACAGAATCTAAACCTGGGCATCAAAGGGAACAGCATCCCTGCACCTTCTACAGGAGGGGGGCAGAGAGAAAAACAAAGCTTTCTGTACAGAAGAAAGAGGTTTGGGGGAAAGCAGAGGCAGCGATGCCCTCGCAGGTCCAAGCTGACTGCTGCAGCTGTTCCCACCACAAATTGCAACCAGATCTCGGCCGCGCCAGCCAGCCAGCTGACCACGTTGCGCTCCACGATCCAAGATGGATCCCTCTCCCCTCCCCCAAAAGGCCATCAATTCGCCTTTCTTGTGGTTTTTTTCTGAACTTTAACTACTTCCTGCCTTGCATCAAGTCCAGGGCTGAGTCAGCTCCGTGCAGGATTGGGGGAGGAAGGTGGGGAAGGGAGGCAAGGAAGGAACTGGATGTAATCATAGTTCCCACAAAGCAGCAGGAGCTTCCTTTTCCAGCTGAGTTCAATCTGTATCCTCGTCTTCTCCCAACTCCTGGGAACCAACCGCACTCCTGGGACAGTGAACTACAGATCTCCTGGGTCATCCCTTCCAGGTCAACCAACCGCCCCCCATGCCACATCCCCCAAAAGCCAACAGGAAGGGAGGAGGTGGGCGAAGGAAACTGGAAAGGCAAGGAGAGGTGAACGATAAACTCCAATGCGCTCCTTTGCACGGCATGCTTCAGCTAGGTCAGCTAACAACTGAGCACTTGCCCATCATGATAAACCTGGGCTAATTTTAAACTGGAGGGTGGGGGGAGGAGGAGGAGGATGGCTTAGCATGCTGTGTGAACTCAACTGATTTGGTTAGTTTAGGGTTCAGGGAATGGGAATGGCTAAGGGCAGGGTTCCTCAACCTTGGCGAGTTGAAGATGTGTGGACTTCAACTCCCAGAATTCCCCAGCCAGCATCTGGGGAAGAAGTCCACACATCTTCAAGTCGCCAAGGTTGAGGAACCCTGGCTAAGGGTATTGAGCAAATGCGGTCCATGTGTGAATCCAAGCTACTCATGGTCAGCAAGAAGGAACCACTCTGTGCTTGCCCAAAGGTCCTTAGAGCAAAAGCAGATAGCCCTCTGCTTGCTTGTGGATCTTCTGTGCCCCTCTGTGGCAGCCCCTCTGACCACCTCCAAGACCGTGTTGCCGACATTCACAATCCTATCGCTATTTTTCAGCAACGTGATTTTTCGCTGTTTTTCAGGACAAATCATCCATTGAAAAGGTGCTTTAGGCCTCGCCTCTTTTGGACTTTTTGCAGAAAAAAAATGAAATTACGATATATGGATTTGATGATGAGTTAAATTAATAGATTATACAAAATATGTACGTCGAGAAGTAGTTTTAGAGTAAGAGGTTATTACATGAATCATTTACATCTGCTGTACAAGAAGCCGGAAGTTATTCTTTTTGTATTTCTTTTCTTCTTTTTCTCTATTTTCCACCATTTATGTATTCTTTCTCTATTTCTAACTTTCTTGCTCTCTGCTCTTCTCGATTATTAGTTCTTGTTTGCTTTTATGCATTTTATAACTTAATAAAGTTCTTATGAAAAGAAGAAAAGGTTTCTTAAGCCTTGAGTCAGCTCACTGCACCCAAAGCCAGCGAAACCCCAACCGCCCGTCCTCCATCTGGCGACATCACGACTTCACTAGCAGCCCTTCAAGACGGGAGAATAATTACAAGTTTGCCCTGATCTAGCTGTGCCAGTCTTAGGACCAGGGTTTCTGCATTCGATTTCCAGCTCCAAGAAGAACCTGTCTTTGCAGATCTTCAGAGTGAACAGAAACAGCAAAAATTGGTAGCAAACAGAGACCTCGTTAAGTTCCTTTCTCTGAAAGTTCCCACCTTTGGGGAGGCATCTGAGTGGCCTTTCAGAAAAGCACTTTAACGCCTACGTTTAGCCAAACCTTCCAAGTTACCAAGAAATTCCTAAAAAGGTCTCTCTCCAATTCACCCGTCGCCGGTCAAACTTGGGTAAAAGGAAGCAAGGGGCTATGAGAATGAAGGGTCCCCGGGAATGAATAGGAATGGGGAGGGGAGACGGATTAAAAGGTAACCCTGCGCCCAATTCTGCCCAACCGTTACCAAGTTCTGTTTTTGAAATCTTGGAAGCTGGTGGAAGGGGTCTAATAAAAGCTCACTTGTCACCCTGGGTCACAATCTTCAGAGGGGCATTGCTCAGGAACATTTAAAAAATATATATTATCCCCCCACGCGCAAAAAAAAAATAATTATGCACGAGAAGATGGGTTTTAAAAGCAACTTGCTGTCTACACGATGCATTGCGCCTTCTTTTGTACAGAGACTGGAGGAAGACCACCCTAGCACAAGAGCACCCAGAGGAACATGGTAACGCTGATCCCTTGGGGTTGAGAGGGACTGTGTTTGAAAAATGTAAGAAGCTAGTCCTGATGACAGCTGAATTGCTGTTCTGGAGCATCCCACATATGTCAGACTTCACTAATCCCTTCTTTCTTCAGAACCTGTCACCCAGCCCTACTCAGAAAGCCACCCTTGGCTGACCTTATCCTGACTCCAGGGAATAAAGAGAAAAATAAATAAATAAATAAATAAATGTTGGGGAACCTTAAAGACTTCTAAATATAGGCTAGGAGAAACATGCAAAGACTCCAGTCTGCTTTCTTCCCCCAGAGTGAGACCCCTGGTATCTCCAGTTTACTTCTGGAGATCTGGTCACCAAGTATATTGGAGCCCTAGGATGAACTGGGGGATAGCTGCATTTTCTCTCTCTGGCCCCAAAGAACCTGGTGTTCCTGAGTCTACCACTTTGCTATCATTCATTTGCTCACTCATTTGCACAACTCAGCAAGTGTAAGCCATCCAGGAAGTCATTGCATTGAAGCAGCCTTCTCCAATCTGGCGGCCTCCATATACATCCAATCTGGTGACCTCCATATAGTTCATATATGCCCAGTCTGGTGGCCTCCATACATTTCATATGTGTCCAATCTCATAGCTTCCATACATATCAACTGCCACAATCCCCATCCAGCACAGTTCAATCATGATTCCTGCTCCCTGGCACCTTTATTCTTAAACCAAAAAGCCCCCCCCCCCAATCATCTGGGTTTGCTCCTTCCTAACACTGCAAATGGATAGACTGATGATCAGAATAGTCCACCACAATCTTTCTGAATGCAACTCCATCACACGCTTACAGAGCAGTTGCTATGATGCAGGGAAAAAAAGGCATTCTCCAATCTGAGTTACGCTACTTCAATCTGCATTTAATGCTTCGTTTTTGAAAGTGAGGACGGCTCAGTCGTTCAGCAAGAGTTTGCTGGTCTCAATCATAGCTGAGCTACTTTAGATCTTTCACTCAAAGGGCACGTTCAGGCACGCATATCATTCCGGGGTCCTCTGATATGGTACCTGCGGTGCCATTATGCCCGTAGACATCTCCCTTGGCGCCTGCTCGGCTCCCTCTTCCATCTGACTTGGGGCATTTAAAAATATTATTTTAATTAAAAAAAAAAAGATGGAAAGCTGGCATGATTGTAAGCAAAGTTCTGGTATCCAGCATCCATTTTCATTCTGAGGATGCCTGTGGGTTCCCAAGCTCTCTTAGAAAATAAAAATCGGTGGCTAAAAGACAGCACTTGGTT